CACTCTGACTTGCCGTCATACCAAGTATGTCACTCTGTTCTCTACAAAAAGTTATTTTAAGGAATAAATTTGTTAATGAACTTTTAGAACGTCATTCGTCAGCAAATCAAGGACTGCATTTTTATCTAAATCCTGAATCTTTGCTGTTGGGGGGAGCAATTAGGAGAGAGCCAGTCTTAAAGACAGAAGTGTTTTTGAGATCCTTGTCTCATTCCTTCTTTGTACACACGGTGCCTCTCTGCATCCCTGATGTACTGTAAGCAGTAATCAAGATACACAGACCAAAAGAGAATAGTTGCATCCCTTTAGGTTAGGTGAAGGGGGAGCTTCTGGGAGCATATTTGGCTGTTTCTGGTCTGCTGGCTAACCTCCCTGTGTATAATTCACTACCCTTGCCAAGTAGCTTCGATCTTATATTGCTACTTGAGTTAAAGCTGACCGTGCATGTGCCCACTTCATAAAATGCTAGTCATGGTGGTCACTGTTATGTATGTGCAGAACACCGTGAACAGTAATGAGGTCGTGACAGAGCGGGGAGGGAAGGCCAGACAGAAGATGATGGAGGCACCCAAGGCAGCTTCTCCCTCTCTGATGAAACAGACTGCAACACTGAAAAGTGCATTCCAAATAAGAGGGATACAGTTTTTAGTATTCCTGACAGTTTTTAAGTATGATGCAAAAGCATTTTATATGTTTTTATGATAAGCATTGTTAGGCAAGGTAATATCTAAGCACTGTTGGAAGCACAAATCTATAAGAACTGTAGATTATGCATTAAAATTATTGGACAGATAAAGGTAAAAAAGTGGGGAAAATATATATGTCAGACCCTTAATAGAAATGAGGGACTTATTCTCTTGAGTGATGAAGTCAATATAAAATATTCATACTGAAACATACCTTAGACATTTACTATTTATAAAATGGAAATAAAAAGTCAAACATGAACTACTGAATGACCTAGAGAATAATAATTCATACTTTTCTGAGAAATATTTTAACATTTTTGACACTTGTGCTTTAAGTCTCTCTACTGTCTGAAGAAACATTTGTAAAGAATTTTTATACCTTTTTATGAAAAATATTTTAAATGTAAAAGAATAAGAAATACTCTAATTAGACTTATCCTTTTGTAGAACGATTAATAGATCAGTTCAAGACTATATACTTGTCATTTCATAATAAAATATAAACAAAAGGTTTTATAACAGCTTTTAAAAAATAAGTATTTCAGTTTGGAAAAAATCTCTAGTGTGAACAAATAGCCTGGAAACAGGATTCTTAGTCTATTTTAATTTTAAGAAAATACAAAGATCCTTTTGCTCTCTGAATGCAGCAAAATCTAAAAATCATAAAACCTTTTTAACCTTTCTAGCTCCAAAAAAGTTAGGAAGTATAACATAATCATAAAGGGTCAAATTACTATTTTTGACTTTATGGTGGTAATATTTTTAGCAATGCTAAAAGGGGATCTTTAGTGCTCCATAGCTTGAAATGTTCAGACCAGTCTATGTAAAAAAAAAAAAAAGAAAAAGAAAAAAGAAAACTACAAATCCTCAGTTTCTTTAAGTTATAATTTTTCCAAGATTAATTATAGTTTAAAAATATTTTATGATCAAGTTTTCTTTTTTCATTATTTCCCATTCTTCAGTTAGCTTTATCTTCAGGGCAAACTTATTGTTGAAGGCAGAAAATGCCAAAGAGTTCATTTACACATGACACATCTGACTGCTTCGCCATTAGTGTTATTAAGGATTGTGTGGATTGAACAACTGAAACTTAACGCTTTGACTGAAGTTTACTGCTGACATTCTTTATGGAGATGGTTACCCTTGCCATACCCCAATCATAAGTTTTCTTGAAAACTAGAAGCAATGTCTTGTTGCTTCTAGATCTCAACACATGATTTCTGTCTTTCAGTTTAATAATTACCCAGGAACAGATGCACTGAGTAATTATTTTAGTTTGTATTACATACTTTATATTTTAATTTGTTATATAACATTTTAAATATATAACAAATGTTTTATAATAAAATATTTTAAATATTTACTTTTAACATAGTATCACCAAGATCATAAACTATTAGCATTGAAAAGAACTTTGGAGATCATCCAAACTAAGCGTTCTTTTCACTGATGAGGAAACTGAGGTTCAGAAAGACAAAGAAATATATGCCTAAGATATATAATTTAAACATCCAAATATTAAACTTACTAGTTTTCCAACTATATGGCTTTTCATTAATTTCATTTTTGTTTTGATATTTAGTTAAAAATTGATGTCTCATGCCCTACAGTTACGTTAAGATTTAAACTTGTCACATGTTAGCAGAAAGTTACAGATACCATAAAAACTTAGTAAATGTTATTTAAATTGACTTCATTATTTTACAAACTTAAATATATTGCTGTTCATAGATAAAAGCTTTTGCTTACAATATAACTAAAAGAAAAATACCTTTTACTTTATTTCTGTATATACAAGCATGTATATGTTGAAACACAGCAGAATCTCATAATACTTTTATGATTTGTGTATATATTTTTGGCTGTTCCATATAATGAAGTTATAAATTTTATTTTAATATCAAGTGTT